CCTATTATTGCTATACCATCACTTCTCAGATTATCCCATGAGAGCCCTGGCTAAAAGCTATGATCCTGTCCAAATAACAATTCAACCTATTATAACAGTTGCCATATACGTAGTACATAACATTATATTGATACTTTACTAAGGAAGAGCCGGAAACTTTCAATAACTTTCACGCCTGGTGTTTCAATAATAACGATAACTAGTTTATAATAATCCTGCAATCATAACCATATTTACTCACACCGCATAAATTAACGCCCGAAATATTCATCTACATACATATATATCACTGTATTATTACACCTATAAAGTGTAAACTCTCTTGGATTTTGTATCTCCTTTGCAACAGTCAGGTAGAACGGCATCTCGTATTAGAAGGTACCATCAGTAAGGATATAGTCTATGTTTAGCTAGATATAAGTTACTACGGTGCCGGTATGTAAGTACGATACTCGTGCTATATAAATACTTAGTATAGTGTTTCGATATGGTTCGTGTTGTCTGTAGTGCACACACACAGAATAGTGTTGTGTCTCTTATTATTATGCTGATGATATGAGTGTATTACTCAATTAATGAGCCACATAGCTTGGGCGATGTAATATATATGTCTTACCCACCGTATGACACTATACTAATAACCCTGACGCTTAGGAGTACGCGCTACTTTGTTTACGTATTTTCTAGTGGTCAGAATGTTCGGTGAGTGATAATTTAGAAAATTACGTATTCTCTAGCTTTGAATATAGTATTATCGATTCTTATATCATATATTATGCTAGTTTAATATAGTATGCTAATATATAGGAGCGAAATTTTAATGGAATTAACTTATTATATCGAAAGAATAATATAATATACTATTATATATATCTACAGATTTACTAAAAATATAACTTATATATGTTCGAGGGGGGGATATTTTAGGTATTATCGAGTTTGATGTATGTGTGTGATGATGTTTAGTTGTGTCTCTATGTTAGGTATTTAGTGTGTGTAAATGTGGTGCTTGGAGTGTGCTTAATGAAGCGTGAGTAGTAGATCTTTGTTAAACATATATGGATAGATAGATGAATAGAGAGATATAAATTCATCCAAAGTCATACGCAATAGGCACACATCCACATACAACATACTCAACTCACACACATCACACACAACACAACACACACAACTTACTCCATCACAACTACCCTCAAACAACACAAGATTTCTCCTGTCAATACTAAACGTTCGGTGTTTCGTATAAATGATATTAATACTACGTGGTACAATATTAACAAAAATAACGTTTGCATAAATTAATGGTTATATGTAAAACCTATATTATCTTTGGTATCAATTATATATAATAAATATATTACGTATATGCGTGCGTTGAGAGATAGGATATGTGTGTGTGAGATTAAGGTAGTTGCTGATGATGTGTGTGAGCTCTGCTGTAGTAGTGATGCGTCGTGGTCGAGTTGTGTGTGTACCTTGTAATGTATGTTTTCTAACAGTAATAATAAAATCATAGTCTTATATCTTAGATAAATAATAAGTATATAAGATATATAATTATTTATAGAAAACCATGTATCAAAATCAGCTCTATAATAAGTTTATATATGTAATATTTTTATTTTCAAATATTATTCATTTAATAATACTTTTTATTGAGTCATAAACAAGTATAAATGCGTTATTCGTAAAGCCGTTCTTATTCTATGCCATCTAGTTGTGATGACTAATTAGTATGCTAGTAATTTATACATTTGGTAAATCCCCAATTCATACTGTATTATCTTACGTCGAACAAATAATATAAATAGAAATTTAATAAATTGTGATATCAGCAGAATATTATCCACTATATATCTATCAAAGTATTATAAGTAATTACCTAACGCTAATTTATTACTTATTAGATGTATACTCTATATTATCCTATATATTATAATGATGTAGACAAACTATTTAAGTAGATTACAATAAGTAATGAATTATCCAATATCTCATAATAATATGGATGGTTTTCTATCTAGTATAAGCACGTACATTCTAGTATAGTAGAGGCGTTTGAGGGCGTAATAATAAGTTTTAAGCGCTATCAAGGATGATGGTCATTATTTATACTCTATATATGTAAAATCAGTTTATAAGTAATGAATATTGAATACATATATATAGAATTGATTATATACTCTCTTGATTATTTCTCCTTTTTTTTCCTTGATATAGTATGAATACATAGAAGGATAAGAGTATACAGTTATCTACAGAGATAGGGATGAATATTCTAATATAGTATCATATATATAGATATATATATTTATTAAGTATATTTATTTACTATTTATTATATGGTTATTATTGTTGTATATTATATTATTTTATTAATATTGTAGACTTATCACACATTATTCACAACTATTAATAATCTATCAATTATAGTCCATTACACCCTTAACGTAACGTATATATGTATCAGCATACACTACACAGTATATAATTAGCTACATTAACTCGTATCATAAAATATATATTTTACTTCGGTCACACACTCTAACATCAATAAGCAACTAAACTACAATCAACCAACTCATACTTAATAACAAACACACGCCATACCATTTATTTAAACTCAACAAATAAATTACACCAATCACAATACACTAACACACCCTAACAGTACTAATACATACCCATAATCAATACATACACATCATAACACCTAACCCTATATCACTACAACATCAACTAATATACTGACACGACACCCCACACACCACACAAACACACACACAATATATAATATATTATCCATATAACACCAACACACACAACACACACACACCCACACACTTTCACACACACACACACCCACACACACACACACACACACCACCACAACACACACACCACACACACACACACACACACCAAGCACACACACACCACACACATATATATATATATACTATTTATATACATATATATATGTATATATATATATATATATTATATATTTAGTATAATATATATTGTATATATAGTATTATATATATATATTATATATATATATATTTATATATATATATAATATAATTGTACGATATATAAATACATGAAAATAAATAAATAAATATATATTATATTACATATATATATATATACTATATATATAATATATATATAATTATATATATATGTAGTATGTATGTATTTATAATTATATTAATATGTTAATTATATAAACACTCATATTACCTTTATCATACTATATATATATATATATATAATATATATGTAGATATATGTAGCATATATAAAATAAAATAAATAAATAAATAAATATAAATCAACATAAACTTAAATAACCATATCCAAATAAATAAATATATATATTATATTCATAAATATAAATATATTTATAAAATATATATATAACATCTCATATTACTTTTATCTCATATTTAGTCATAACCCTCCCTATTCCCCTCACCACCCTATCCCGCCCCCGTCACCTCCCCACATCCTGTACCCATTCCCCCCTCCATACCCTATCGTCCTGACCCCCCAACACCACCCGCCAAACCACCGAAACCAAAGCAGTCGTAGGGGCACTTAAATGTCTCCTCTCCAACCGGAGGGCCCGCGACCCTATATATATATATTATTATTTATTTATCTTATGTATTTATATATCTCCTACATAGATATATTATACATATATTTATATATATATATATTATATATATTAATATATATATATATATATATATATATATATATATATATATATATATATATAATTATATATATTAATATATATATATGTTATATTAATATATATATATATATTGTATGTGTGTGTGTGTGTGTTGTGTGTGTGTGTGTGTGTGTGTGTGTGTGTGTGTGTGTTGTGTGTGTGTGTGTGTGTGTGTGTGTGTGAGTGTGTGGGTGTGTGTGTGTGTGTGTGTGTGTGTGTGTGTGTGTGTGTGTGTGTGTGTGTGTGTGTGTGTGTGTGTGTGTGTGTGTGTGTGTGTGTGTGTGTGTGTGTGTGTGTGTGTGTTTGTGTGTTGTGTGTGTGTTTGTTTAAGTGAGTGTGTGTGTGTGTTGTGTGAGTGTGTGGGAACATTTGCGAGTATGTGCATCTGTGTGTGAGCATCGTACGTATATGCATATATGTGTGTGTGTGAATGTCTCATTATTTTCCATCCATTTCTAATTATCTGACTATATATCATCCCCTATCTCTAGATACTGCTCTTCCTCTGTTCACCAGGAAAAGGAGAAATATCAGAGAGAATGATGTCATTCATCTTAACGTTCCATATGTAAATGACATCATCCTTGAGGCTTAACTTTCCCCACGTCCGAATGCGTGCTTAAGATGAACCCATTGTTGGAATTCATCATGACTCTAATAGGTTTTGTTCATTAATTGGAAAGAGAAGATGCTGTTCTTGTATCTCGCAAATAATTCTTTATTTGTTCGCGAGAACAATGTTACCCATAGTAACAGATGACACGGCTTCCGTCTTGTGCAAAAGAAAGAATTAGAACAAAAATTAACTGCTGTTTGTCTGGGTTTCCAATTCTCTTTTTCGATATCTGATTTTTTTTTTACACATGCGTTGGCTTTTCGCAATACTTATTAAATATTTTCAGGCAGTTTTATATGCCAAAGATATGGTTTCATTATAACTCATATTTATGCAAACGTCATTATGTTAATATTGTACCAACGGATACTTTCGAACACGGAACTGTTGACAGGAGAACTTTTAGGATATTTTAATATCACATTATACTACTTTTACAAGCTATATGTAATACTTTACAATCTATAGATATAATTTATCATACTAAAATATTTATAGTTTTTGTATCTGTAGAAATATTATCCTAAATCCATAAAAACCTCTCTCAGCTAACGCAATATATGAAACGATTCAAAGCTAAGAGAACGATTCTAATCCGACTTCGCCCTAGAAGAACGAAAACAAAGGCGCGTCCCAGCGGGGGTTGGGCGTGGTGACATCATCGCCCAACATGTGGCATGATTCACGAAAGAGAAATTTCAGCCTCGACACACGTTTTAGCACGAGTCTCCACCGGCACCGGCCGCACAACTCTCTAGTACCTTCCCGAGATGCCGTTCTACGCTGTTGCCAGGGGACACAGCCCAGGAGTTTACACTTCATGGTGAGAACTGTGATATGTGGAGATTTCGGGGTATTTATGCGGGTGAGAATGGTAGTGCAGGTTACGTTCGTTTTGAAGGCGGAAGTTGAAGTTCCGGCTCTTCCCTTGAGCATATGTTGACGTGGCACTGTAAGAGGGTGAATGTAGCGACATTGCCAGGGCTCTTTTGGCACTGAAGATGAGCAAAGGGCCGTCAGTGGAACGGCAATGTTGAAAATGGGAATGTATTTAAGATCAATCATTATGTCTTAGGTATAATGACAGGCACGGGCGCTATGTGAAAGTTGAAGTTGACAGCTCTAAGAGTCATTTGGGTCAGTTATATTAGTTTTTTAATGTTCTTTTTGACAATATTTTTAACATGTAACTGGGTGAAATTAGAGGCGGTTGCTGAGATAATAGCAATGTTAGTATATCCTCCCTTTTATTGCTCCTTATGAGATGCTTGGGTAAAAATTGGAAATGCAATCTCACTCCATATTTTGGGTAAATAGAATAATTTTCCATTAGTTTCCATCTTGTTTCAAACGAATCTAGCACACATATCTTTCAGGAACGAAGCATTACTACGATATCGGTCTCAATAACTGGGGAGGGCATGATACATTACAGAATTTCGAGAAATATCAGTAGAATACTAGTATGCATAGAATATTAACCCATTTCTGGGTTGTACATGGGGCTCCACCCCAAACTGTAGAGTATTTTTCTTGCGCGGGGAGTATTACATTTTTTCATGCTTGGAAAACATCATTTTGTCTACATTTGCACGGACGGATCTGCAGACGGATGATGAAGGAAGTTTTCCGAAAGGTGAAAAGAATTTAATGTACGGAAGATTTTTTAATAAAGAACTAAGTGTGCACGGAAAGTTACCCGAGAACTACATTTGTGGACAGAATTTGACTAAATAATTTTTGCGTGGGGAACACATTCCTCGCGCAGACCAAACTTTAGTCTAGGCTCCGCCCCCTTGAACCCCCTTTCAGGGGGGGTTTAAGGGAGCGTATGTTCCAGCAGAATAGAGCCCAGTCAAACCGGGTATGACATGTTTTCAGTAGATATAGGGGGCTTCGCTCCCTTATACCCCTTTTCTGGAGAAGCTGCCACCCCCAACCCCTACCTGGTCTACAAAATATTCACCTCATATGTTACAGCAGGATAGCCTAGATCCAGGAAAAGTTTAAACCACATCTTGCCTTAAGCATTAACTCCTAACTGGCCAGGCTGCAGGTCACTGGGATCGTCAGGATATTCCAGGTTGTTGTAGGTGGGAATTGCGATTGCTTACAGTATAGTTACACTGCTCTCTTCAGAAGTATCAAGAAGAGTTACCTAGTAACCAGATGGACCCATGAATGGATAAGTTTGTATTGATAAGTAAGAAAAAAGTAATTAAGTTATCAGATACCAGTAGTTATATCAGAAGTGGATGAGTAACCCCATGAAAGTGGTCAGTTTCACTTTTTTACTTTTCTCATGTTAGGTAAAAGAGTTTATGAGTGGTGAAAAAAATGGTAAATTAATGCTATTATGAAGTTCGTGTATGTATGTCTGTATGTTAGCTTGCATACACATGTGCTTCATGGCACCCCAGTCAAAAAAAGTTTGGACATGCCATTAGTGAGTTCATCTCAGGTCACATGGTATTCATACCCATGCAGTTTTTACCATTCAATCTGATATGCATTAGCAATCTTGGTAATGTATATGACAGGTTAAGGCTTAAACCAGTCACGGATATGAATTATCATTTAAGAAAAAACTCATGTCACGATATTCTTTTTATTGTCATTACACATATTTGCTTCAACATTTTTTCTATATTAATGTTATATACTCTTACTGTTAATGCAGTTCCTACTACTACAGCTATAACTACTTGCTTCCCGGTCTTGTATTAAAGTAAATCATTTTAGCAACTTTCCCCATTAGAACAACTTCATTATAACATTGTATTTAGTGTACGAGTATGCAGTAACTTGTAGCCTATTTCTTTATAGTCTTAAGCTATTGACCTAATTGAATACATTGCACCACACTTCAGGACATTGTTGCCTTGATTACTCTCAAAACATGCATGAATCATCCCCCTTTTGACCTTCTCAGGTACATTCTTGGCAGGCACAGTCTATTCTGGTTGGATAGAGTATAAAAGAAAATGGGAAACGTGTAGTAAACTTAATTTCTTATTTTCAGTATTCACTTTTATTAGTTATTGTCTGTCAGTTAGTTGTCCTTCTTTAATGTATGGATGATTGAGTGTTGTATCATCTGGAGACCTTATTTTTTAGTTTCTATAGGAGTCATAAAAAAATAAATAGATGAAAAAAAAAAAATGTCACAGCAGAGCTAAGTCGAACTCTTTCCTTTCTTTCAATGTACTTATAACATTGACATATTCTTTTTCATTTAATTTGTGCCCTTCGATAATGAATTTTAGAAAACATTATTTGCAAAAGTTGACGTGTCAATATTCTGCAAACCCTTTCAGGAATAAAGCATACATAAAACACTGTTGGCAAATAATCTCATGATATAAGTTTAAGAAATCATAACAAATTAAAATTAAAGTAAGGTCACATTATAAATTCAGGTATTTGGATTACAGTTTTTTTTAAGGAATGTGTATGAGTATCATGTATTCTTTACAAACTATTTCTTGATATTGAGAATGAATGTATGATTAGTACCAGGCAAGATCTTCCAAGAAATTAAAACTGAATTACATTTCAGGCCTGATGCCCAAGCCCAGATTAATGGCTATACGGCAGCTCGGTACAAGAAGTTTGATACCAAAGATGAAGCTGAAGAATTTGTCAAGGAAAATGCTCTCAACAAGCCAGTGGTAGACCGCCGCGAGAAGGCATCAGGGGATTCCCAAGTTGGTAAGACCGTGTTATAAGGGTTTTGTGTTTCTCAACCAAACTGCCTCTTGGCAGTTAAAATCCCAAAAGGCCTAAGTCTCAGTAGCTTGTAAACATAGCAGTGCATGAGCAACTGGCATGCTTGTTCTTATGCCATTTATACATTGGTTTGTGGCTATGATGCAAACATATATAGGAGGCCTTAATGTTATTTTTGGGCTAAAATAAAGATGAAAAATATCCAGCCACCATGGTACAGAGTCTGCCTGGTAGAAGGGTTACATTGTACTCTCTCCGAATGCAAGTGACTGATTAGAAAAATCAGTTATTATTTCTGTAATGGATATGTTTTTGTATTGAAACCAAAATGTCTAAATGCATTTTGTTTTTTTGTTTTTTAAGCATTCCAACACTTCCTTTATTTTGAAGAAGAAACTCAAAAAAATTCTTTCCACAGAAGGGAAAAGAAAACGAGATGATGATGAGGAAGAAGAAGAAGAAGGCCAAGGAGAGAAGAAACTGCATGTGGATGAAGGAGAAAAGAAAACCGAGGATGGCTTATCTTTAGATGATGAAGGTTACCTTGTTGTTTATTCTGTTGGGGTGTGCGAGTTCCATGGAAAAAGCGGACAGAAATCTGGCTGTGGTGTCTTCTTTGCAGAGGATCATGAAAGGTAAAGATTATTGTTTTCTAATGGATCAATAGGCATGTCCTTTGCAGTCTGATTTAAATACTCAGTATTTCTTATTGTTTGTATATATGTGTGTGTGTGTGCGCGCGCGTGCGTGCGTGCGTGCGTGCGTGCGTGCATGAATACATGTATGCATAAGAGATAATAGAACATTTATATAAATAATGATGCTGATTTTGATAAGGTCCTGACAATCATGTAACATTCTAGCAGGGATAATGATAATAAGACTAGATTTATGAGGGCCCATGGTCAAATTAATAAGCTAAAACAAATCATGCTTCAGGAATGTGTCTGTGCCTTTGAAGGGGAAAGCCTCCAACAACGCAGCAGACATTCAGGCAGCCACTCATGCACTTATTACTGCTAAAGCTGCTGGTAAGTATCATTTACAGGTTAGATCATGTGCAAGAATTTAAATTTTACATCCCTGACTTTCTTGCTGGTGATGATTTACAGTATGATTTACATAACTTTTATATGAAATGATTACATTGAACTGACATTCATCTAAATATCTTTGAAAGATATTTTTTTCTTTTCCTTTCTTTTCATTCTATTTTATCAGTTGAAATTTATCAGATCTTATGCAACCTGCCCAAGTTTCTTCCATAAATTGTATACACTTTTCTTTTGTGATTGTTAGTTGTTTGGTCTTATACCCTCCCTTTTCACCAACAATTTCACACGTACCAAGGTATCTCACTGATGCTGAACAACCACCCCACACTAGGTTTAACAGGATAACTGTGATTTATCGTATGGTAGGTAGCTTGTAGTTGAAATGGAATTATTAAGCAGATGATTTAAGCAGAACTTTGCTGTCCCCAACCCACCCACCCATCACATAGCACATGGCAATATAAAGCAAAAGTTTTGTGTTTTGCTATAGATATTGAAGTATTATAAAACATGTGGTGAAAATAGTAAAACATGTCACAATTTCGTGTTTGGAACAACATTGCATTCAATCACAGACGGAAAATTTGTCTGTGATCACAAGTAGACAAAAAGTCAGTGACATTTTCAGTCTGTTTGTGATGTGTATATATACTCTGGTCTCCTGCATATGTATTACTGTACTATGGATGCACCTTAATGTGACACCAAGAGCATTCTGGTGTCACAGTTCTCAATGTAGAAGTTCTTCCCACCCAAATATTGTATAAAATAGAATAAAACACTTATACTTATGGCCAAAGTAATTAAAGGTAGAATAAATATGTATATGTATGTTTGTTTGGCTTC